AGGGATCTGCACTTTGGGAAGGTCGCTGGCATCCACCGGGCCAGGTGGCTCAGCCTCACCCAAGGTGGCAGCGAGGGGAGGCTTCCGGTCTGCAGGAGAGAGACGGGTTAGTGCGAGCCATGGACGAGGGCTCCAGAGCGGGAAGCCTGAGCCAGGGGCTGCAAAGCAGGTCTCAGGGCTACCCAGGCATCCTCACCCCGCTGTGTGCGGAGGGGCAGGGTGTGGCTGCCACCTGTGCCAGGCCAGCACCCTGTGGTCCTCAGCCCTCAGGTTCCTGCTCCTGACTGTGCAGGGGTCTTCACGCAGCTCCAGGCCCGGGCACACCAGTCACAGGCAACCCTGGCCCAGCTCCTTTCCCAGGCTGTCTCTGCTGCCAGAGCCTAAGCCTGGGAGGGAGCCTGGTTGCCCATCAGCAGCCCTAGCCTTTAGTGATCAAAGAGCAAGATGGCATTTAAAAGGCCACTGCAAGTCTCAGATATTCCCAGTGCTTTCACCAGAGCAGAAAAGCGTGCTTCCATTTATACTCAAGAGAAGCAGGATCAAACGCTTCCTGGTGCACTTCCCCACCCAGGGCACAGGCATGGGTGTGCAGCAGCAGCAGCACCTGGTGTCCCCTGTGCCCCTGGACCAGGCCACAGGTCCTGTCCACATTGCTTCCCAGCCTGTGCTTCCCCTCCCCACTGAAGATGAACCAGGTTGCGTAGCTGCACAGCAGCACAGCCTGGGATGTAGGTCCTTTTCTGGGGAGGCCAGGGGCGCAGGCCCCGGGAGCACAACCACTGGGGCCCAAGAGCACAAAGCAGCTGAGGCGCAGTCATGGGAGTCTTACACCCACCAGCAGCCCCCGCGAGCCGATGCTGTCCCAAGCAGGGAAAGCGCACACGGCTTGATGGCAGTGGAGGCCTGTGTGTGGTGGAGACCCAGGCAGCTACTGCCCCTGGTGCCTGCTACCATGACTAGGAATGGGCAGACCACAAGGATCTGCCTACACTGCGGGCCAGGCCCACACGCCCTTTGGTTCTAAAAGCTGAGGAGATGCACGCTCTACGTGTGCACACTGCAGGCCACGGGGGCTCAGGGGTCCCCAGAACAGCCACAGCCTGTAGGACCTGCCTGCTGTCCCTCCTGCCTGCACTAGCCCACGGATCTGGCTGACTCCAGACACAGGAAGAGACTGTTCTCCTTTCTCCTCCCATTTCCACTACTGAGAAGCTGCTGGCTCACTACACACTTGCCGAGAGCTTTATCCCTTCAATTTATTCTCCATGTGACCCTGAACAATTGCTTACTCTTCAAAAGGCTCTAGAAGGCTCCCTACCGACAGGAAGCAGGTGTGGGAGACACAGGACTTAGCACCTACAGCAATCCTGCTTGGCTCTGGAGAAATGCTCAGCCACTGGCAGAGTTCCCTTTTTGTAAAACTCACTTACCCTGTGCAGCTCAGTGTTTCTGGATGTGCGTGGTCAGAGACTATCTGGATATACTTAAGGTTGCATGGCTTGACAAAGTAACAGAATTTGGAAGCTCCCTGTCTTTGCAGGCTGGCCTAGACCCCCTCCCCCTGCAGCCACACTGCCTCTGCGTGCTTACCTGGTGGTGGGTGGGCTGGAGGCAGCGGTGGGTGACTGGTCTCAATTTTGGGGATTTTAGGTGGCGGTGGTTCTGAAAGAAAAGGTGGGTTAAAAACCACTCATGCCTCTTCATGTAAATAAAACATACTGTCAGAGATTTCTTTAGGAAGAAAAAGAACAGATATGACCAAGGCTTTCAGGGAGGTAATGAAAGCTTCAGCTAAAGTAGGAGGAACTCACTGACGCTGTTAAAATAGCAAAGTAATTCAAATACCTCTCCCCCAAACACCAAAGCACCCCCCCCCATTAGCAGGTCCTCCACACCTACCAAGGCTGCCTTTGTGACCTCTCAGGACAAGTCCTTCACATCAATAACAAGGCCGCCATGTGTCAGGACTCACAGAGAGGCCCTAAGCAGCAGTGCCATGTCACCAAGCCCCGTGGGGTCTCATAGAGCATTCTTCCCCTCTGAATTCTTATTTTCTGCTCTCTACACTGATTTTCAGGGGCAGCATGCCAGGAGCAGCGCGTTAACTGGTGACAGGAGCTGGGAGGGGAGGGAGGCCTGGAGGGAGATGATTGGTGCACAGCACACTGCTGGCCCTTACCGCACAGATGGCCAGGACAGGGTATAGGAAGTCCAAGTTCTTCCAACTAAGAAGGCACAATCGGCAAAGACCCCCTATTCCTGCTTACCCAGTGCGGCTTCCGTCCTGAAACTGAAAGTGACCTGTGCCTGTGCGGCACTGACCGCGGCTCCCGGCATCATGGCCACATCTCTCACTTCCTGGTCTTCAACACAGGCAGATTCACGGCCTGGGACCCTTGTGCTCTGGCCTGCACTTGGAGAACAAGGCCCCGCCCCACAGCAAACACACTCTAGTGGCCCTCTTCCAACACCTCAGCCCTGGCTTCCATACTCCGCGCCTGGACTCTGCAGCCAGCCTCACACTGGAGCTTTTCCCAGCTCTAATGGGTGTCACTCTCCAGTGACAGCTGTCCGACTGTGCCGTGATGAGACACGTAAACACACGGAATTTTAACTTTCTAGTGGCCATGTGAAAGAGTAAGAACTGAAACTAATTTATATATTTTACTTAACCAGACCAAAAAGTTTATTTCAACAAGTAACCAATGAAGAACTACTTGAGGTTTTCTGAGGTTCTCTTTTCCTATGAGCCCTTGGCAATCTGGCCAGTACTCTGTGCCGAGAGGCCCAGCACCAGTACAGCAGTGCATACCATGCCACGTCCCAGTCCTTGCCTTCTGCTCTTTGGCCACCTCTGCCTGCCCTGAGATCCTCCTCCCCTGCGTGCTTGCACTCCTCGAAGGCAAGTCCCTTCCACAGTCCCCTGGGGCTGCCTCCAGCCCCTCACAGAACCATGTGTCAGCACATGTGGACAGAACACGCTGCAGGCCCTCCCTCTTAATGCCTGTTAGTCTGGAGCTGAAATAATTCACCTCTGTTGAACTCATCACTCTCTTCAAGATGCTGAGAAAAATAGAGCCTTATCTAACTCTCACAACAGTTTTATGAATAATTCACTGCAACCAAGAACTAAACAACAAAGAAACAGAAAAGAATATGGTCTGTGCCTTCAAAGTGCTCAGTGACACAGACAGACACTCTAAGTTTCTGTTACCTTTCAGATTTTTACTCACTGTAGTTCCAACATGAGGCAAAGCAAGCAACTTTGTGCTCTGGGAATGTGAGAAAAGCAGTATTTCAAGGGGGAGCTGGCTCACCTAAGCAGGAGTACCAGGGCATGCTGTGGCTTCCTGGGACCACACAGCCCAGTACCTCCATCCCTTCGAGCCAGCTCTGCTGCCACTGTTGAGCACAAGCACTCCTGTGGCCCTTACTTCTGTCACTGGTGACAAGTGTAACTCCTCCTCAGGACAAACACTGCTACGACCAGCTCTCTACATTCAGAATTGAGGATTTTAGGGCCAGGGATTTAGCTCAGTGGTTCTGCTGCCTGCTTCACAAGTACAATGACCTGAGTTTGATCCCCGCCACCAAAAAAAAAAAAAAAAAAAAAAAAAAAAAAAAAAAAAAAAAGGATTGTTTTTAGTACTGGGGATTGAACCCGGGACACTTGCACACTAAACTTTTTCCATTTTTTAAATTTTAGACAGACTTTAATTTTAGACTAAGTTGCCCAGTTTGGCCCCGAACTCATGATCTTCTTGCCTCAGCCTCCTGGGATTACAGGCCAGTAGGCCCCAGAATTATATTTTCCTATGTGTTACCAAGTACATTTTTATTGCCAAAGTTTCTTGAACTGATATTTTTTGTCAACAATCTATACAATTATAAAGGCTGGTGATGAGCAGAGAAGAGGATACACTTTTTCTGGCACACAGGCAAAGCTTCAGATGGATTCTAAGTTAAATTTTAAGGTTAATTTACATCTGGAAGGAAACAATGCTGAATAAAAATTTAAATGAACCTAAAGTTTTGCACAGAAGCGTAAAATAAATAAAACAGAAGAACAGGGCATTACCTGCTGCTTTATTCTCTTCTTTGGGAGAAACAACCTGTTAGAGAGAAAATATACAAATGTTAACTGAGACCTTGGTTTTGTTGAGAAAAAAGACCGTGGGCACTAGTAGGATCACAACCCGGATTTACTGAGACTCGAACCCCAAGGCAGACATAGCACGTCTGGGTCACTTCTGGCCCTCCTCCCTGGTCAGAGTAGACAGAGCCCTTCCTTTTGTGGATGGTTCGCAGCAACAGTAAGCATGGACTCTCGCTCCCGGGACTCAGGGGTTTGCTGGTGCACGTTTATCCCAGCCGCTTTCCTCTGGGGGCTCTGACCACCCAGACGGCTCCCTCCAGTAGCTGGGCTGCTTCCGTGGGGAATGTGGACTCGTGCCCCACGAGCACAAATTTTTACAAATACCATGTATGTCACTTAAAAGAAATGAGCACCAAGGAAGAGTGCAGGAGAAGGGACTGCTCCAGCAGCCAGTCACAGCTGCTGGGGACGTGGGGAAGGATAGTCCTGCTTCAGGGGTGGCATCTGCACCCACAAGAGCAGAGGTGCCTGAGCAGTGGGGGCTGCAGTGGGAGGACAGGGCCTGCTGGGTTCGAGAGAGCACTAGTTTTCCTTGTGCTCAGTGCAACTCCAGAGCAGGGCAGGGCAGGGCAGGGCAGGGCACTCACCACAGCACGCTTTGCCTGGCGGGGAGGGCTGGGTTGTGGAGAGGGCTTCTTGGGCTGCTGAGCCTGCGGTGGTGGCGGCGGGGGCTGGGCTGACTGCTGTGCCTCCTTCTGCTGGGACTGGGCTGGCTCTGAGCCTTGAGACAGCTGTGATTGCTGTACCTGCGGCACTGGTGGTGGAGGCTGGAGAGACGGGGGCTGCTGCAGCTGATGGGGGGTGTGGTGAGGCATCTGCTGCTTTCCTTGTGAGTACAGATCGAGGATCTGGTGGCAGATGTCTAAATGACAACCAACAATCACACTCACCATGATGTGACACTGCCAATCAAATTTTACCCAGAAAAACCCAGCACGGACTGGGCAGTCGGCCCTGCCTTTGCTGCGTGTGACGGGGGCTGCCTTTCTAGCTTGCTAGAACTTCACAACTATTTATGTGGCCGAGAGAAAGTCCCAGAGAATCTGAAAATTCACCTGCTGATATCCACTTGGGAAATCCATTCTTGGGACCCCAGGTTGCCAGGAGAATCATGGAAAGAAGGAACACGTCCCAAGAATGTTCACACGCCCAGTACCTTCCAAAACGTCAACGGGGACATCCTGAACGAACTGCTCCCACCACCTCCTGTACATGGGCTTGGAGGTCCATTCTTGTATTTCAAACTTGCACAAACGTCCTGCGAGATACATGACTGCCACCGCTATGATCTCCGGCTCCCACTGCAGCGACAGGGTGGTGCAGAGACTGGGCTCATTGAGGAGAGAACAACATAGCACTTATGATTAACTCTGCAGATCAGGTGCCGGACTCACCTGTCAGTCGGCTCAATCAGCTAAACGACTAATATATACTACTAGTGAAAAAGCAAGTTTTCTGGTACTAGTTCTAATTTGTTCTTTAAAGAAGCTGAAAAATTTGAACACATTAAAAAATTCCTGCATCATTAAATACATATGAAAAAGGTTCACGTTCTTTCCCTGCTCAAATACTAGCCACTGAACTGTTTCTTTGAAACAGCTTTTATAGGGAGGCTAAACACGGGGCAAGACAAATGCTTCTCTGCCTCTGCCATTCCCACGAACGCTACGGCTCTAGAATCATTCCAAGAAACCCAACGGGCTCTAAGGATTCAGCTGTAAAATTGTTCAGTGTACTGTTCTGCACTTAAAAGTTTCGAACTGGTGCTAAGATCTCACATTCTCACACCACTATGACACGGCTGGGCAGAAAAACCCTCTGCTGGGAGCCATGACTGGGACTTCAGCCCCACCTCTGCCGCTGCCTGTTTATCCAGTATAAGATGGTTTTCTCAAACACAGAATGAGGGCCTTGCAATAAATGACCCTTAAAATCTGTTATAATGCCACAATTACATCAACATTTGAACACATGTACCTGTCATTTACAAAGGTCCATGCCATTTGAACCAACTTTTGAATTTTGTTTTTATCACCTAGAAATGGAGAAAAAAGGCAAAATTAATAGGAGTGGGGGACAAGAATTTATAACAACAACAATTTATTTAAAACCCACTATGTCAGCACAGGAAAGAGCTTTCAACTAGAAAAGGCCAAGTGAATGGTGGGGCCTATATCCTCCTGCAACTTCTTTTCCTATCACTTGTTCTTCAGCATGACCTACTCTGAAACTCCCTTTAAGGGAAAACTGGCTGTGAGGCTAATTTTATTAGTCTATTTAAAAGTTCTGACTCATTTTCCTGCTTCATATCTCTTGGCAACTGGATGACAGGACCTGTTTATGCATGGAGGAGGCAGCATGAACGCTGCAGTGCTGCACTGCCTGGCAAACTACGCAGGGGACTTTGTACACCAACCGTGCTGTCCTCTTTAAGAAGCACAGTTTGAGCATCATCAAACTTAAAAGACGTAAGGCTGGGGATTTGGCTCAGTGGTTCTGGTGTCTGCCTCACAAGTGCAAGGACCCAAGTTCGATCCCCGCTATCAAAAAACAAAACAAAATAAAAGAAACACTTTTCAAGTATTACCCCCTTACCTTTGAGTTGTTTTGCATATTTGAGTAGAAACTGGTATGGATGTTCAACCTGTAAATCAAACTTTATGGTCTGTAGTAAGATTCTCTCCAGAACCATTACTTCTTCCTAAACAACAAGAAAGGGCACTAAGATAGAAATTATGTCAAGTCATTTTTTTAGTGTACATTTCAGTGGCATTGACTGCATTCACTTTTTTTTTTTAAATGGAACCAGGGATCGAACTCAGGACCTTGTGTTTGCAAAGTAGGTGCAGTACCACTGAGCTACATCCCTGGCCCCTGGGATTTAAAAATTATAATAGTAAGTCTCAAAAACATTAAAAAAGTGAACTTTCCTGTCTACTTTCTCTTGTTTTCTCCTCTCTCCATTCATGCTCAGAGACAGTGATAAATTCTGAAAAGAACTCACAGCAGGAAGAAAAACCAATCCAAAGGTTAAGTGAAGGGAATCAGAACAAAATAAAAACCCTTAGAAGTAGTATTATTTGCAAATAAATACCCAGGAATCTCCCTTAACAAAACTGAGTGGTTTCTTTCAGGAGTCCCCTGCAAAACGCAATTCCCCTGGAAACTTTAGGGGAGACTGTGAGCCGGCTTCAGACACCAGGACAGGACATGTGGGCCGTACAGTGGGCATGCGTTGACAGGGGCAGCACTGTTGTCTTCAAATCCTTCATTTATATAAAATAAGCAGCCACAATGTTACTTATTCAAAATACAAAGATACCGTTTTTCCTTTCTTTGGGAATGCTAAGTCCTGTCTTACAATGCATATGCACCCATCTGAGTCCATATAATCTTTCTGGTCACTGCTGTCTCTCTGCTTCTGCACCACAAACAAGACTAGGAAGGGTCACTTTCATTATTGTTCCTCTTTTTAAAAATAGTTGCCTGTTTTTGCATATTCCTAACCAATCACGGTTCCAAACCAAATTTTAGTTTCATTTTACTTAATATCATCCCAAAATAAATAAAATTAAAAATTAAAAAAATGCCATTGATGTTTTGATTGGGAACTCACTGAATTTAAAGAATGAACAAGGAAAATATGAGATTTTAACTCCAATGAATCATCCTACAAATACTTTATTAAAATCTTTTCAGCCCATTAGTAGTTTTAAAGGGCTTTGCAGCGGACAGAAAACATCTCATCATTAACAGTCTGTCTCCAGATAAGTGCCCCTTCTTTGCCAAGGACAGCACCATGTCTTCCCGGCTTCCAGATAGATCATGTCTGGGAAAATGCACATGAAAGGAAGCAGGCAGAGCTTGCTTGCCCATCTAGGTCTAACTCAACAACATGGCGTGAAGGAATTTCTCTAGGGAACCCTAGGACACTGTGCATGAGCTCCTGCCACACGCCCTCACCTGCTGGGGTCCCACACATGTGCGCTCAGCCTGAGCCCCAGCTCCTAAGCCAAAGGGACATCTGCCCATGATGACAGACCCTACAGGTGGATGGTGCTCGTCATGGACTAACCATGTGAAGATCACCTATAGGTGTAGAAAACATTCTCTGTTGGTTACACTATTGTGCAGAAACGAACTTTTGATTACTGTTAATTTGAGTTTCTAATAAGCTCAAGAGTTACAAACAACAAGTGAAGGGATTTCTAGGGAAGTTTAAGGGACAGACTTATCCCACACTGACAATGCTTATGAAGCCTGAGTACTGATCACAACCACAGTATGGACAGAAGCGTTGCAGTTCACTCCAGGAGAGAAAAGGAAGAGACCACCCATCCTGTACCCTGGGTAAGTGCTTCGTGGCAGCTGGTTAGGAAAGACCACAGGTGGTACCAGCTTCCTCAACCCAGACTGTTTCAGCTGTGACCGAGTTTCCCCTGTAACACTAGTCACTTATTTCACATGACTCTGTCGAATGCTTGTGTCTATATTCTACAAATACATGGAAACCTGGTCCAAGAGGATTTTACAGGGAAAATTACTGGACTAGGTGCTGAACCGTCACAGCGCACCTGGAAGCAGCAGACATACATGGGAGGTTCTTCTAAATATGTGTGTGGATACTAGGAAAAAACACTAAACTGAATAACCCGTGGGATTATCTGATACAGGTGTAGCTAATGGAAACTCAATTGCATAATGCTGAGTCGAGGAACCCAATTGAAAAAGGCTTCATACTGTATGTTTCTAACTCTACCATATTCTGGAAAAGGCAAAACTATGGAGACAGTGAGAGATCAGTGACTGTCAGTGGTTAAGTGGGAGGAAGGGATGAACAGGCCGAGAGCACTGCCATCTTCTAGGGCCCTGAAAAGATACTGTACTATACTTTGCCAGTGGGATCGTGACAATGACTCATGAAGGTGGGTCCGTTACACAGGTACCGTTCTGGGAGGCTGTGTGTTGTGCGGCAAGGAGCACGTGGGAACGCTCTTGATGAACCTAAAAGTGCACTAAAGAAATCTACGTAACTAAGAGGTATGATAAATGTTACAAAGGAAAATTAACAAGTGTTACAAGAGGCGGAACTTGATGAGAATTGGGGTATAACAAAATTATCACTGGTGCATGGAATGGTATTTTTTAGAACATAGTAAAAACATGTATAATTATCTTAATCCCTTTTACTGACAGTAGCAGAGGTTGTGGGGAGGGGACAGGATGGAGACCACGACTAGTATCAATGTCTGTGTGTCTGAAAATGTTGCAAATGTCACTAACTTCCACATTCTTGAGAAGCAAAAGACAAAACAGTATCTGTATTTCTGTCCGAGCCTGGCTCGGTGGAAACATGAGCCTTCCCAACCACCGCACCTTAGGAGGTGCGTGCTAATGGTGAGGAGACGATTTCTGCTCACACCCAACTCCTGCCCTGTGGCCGCTCAGGTGCTCAGGACACAGGGCAGCAGCACACAAGCGAGGCTACGTATGCCACCTTGCCACCCCTCCACACAAGCCCTCTAGGGACTGAGGAACTGGCAGGTACAGGTGCCACTGCCCATCTGTACGCTGGTGCTGTCATAAGGGATCCACACTCAAAGGTGGAAAGTTTCAGTTCTTACCTTTGGGTCATCTCCAAACTGGCCAAACTGTATATCATTTAATAAACTACGAGCGGTTTTGATGATATCTTTACATTTTTTTGGAGTTTCTTCTACTTTTCCAGCCAAAAAGAGACAACAAGCTCCTGTCACCTAAAAGAGACAAAAGCTCTTACATTTTGTTACCAAAGATTTTTAACCTCTGCAGTAAACCAGACCCTCTCATTCTTCTACCTTCTTACTCATTTACAAATATTCTGATACTGTAAAAGCTTGAAGAAAATTTTACAGCCCTGAAAAAAATTTGGCTTTGAAAATCTTTTAAAGCTTAATTTTCTTAGGGTTGGGGGTATAGCTCAGTGATAAGAGTGCTTGCCTAACATTCATGAGGCCTTGGGTTTGATCTCCAATCCTGGGAAAAAAAACCCCCACAAACAAATATAACTTATTTTATAAAAGAAAATTGTCATATGTCAAAAAGAAAGCCACAGAACTGAATTTCCTTCTTATATTGTGGTTTGGAAGATTTCAACTCTCTGTACAGTAAGCTTTGCTATGAAAACAGAAAAAACACAACTATGAGCATGTCTGGTGCAACACATTTCTGCATCACTGTTCACACTCCCTTTCCTTCCTGCTATGGTCAGAACGCATGTGTCCCCCAAGAGTTCATGCGTTGGAAACAACCTCTAATGCCACAGCACTCAGAGGTGGGGCGCTGGACACATGACCCCCCTGTGACCGGGATGGCCAACTTCATAAGGAGCCCCTTTGAGAGCGAGCGCCTTTTCCTCTCCCCACCATGTGAGAACACAGCAAGGAGGCCTCCTCAGACACTGAAGCCCTGGTACCTTGATCTTGAACTTCCCAGACTTCACAGTTGTGAGGAAGAAGTTTCTGTTATTTGTAAGTCACCTGGCTCAAGGTTATTTTGTTACAGTAGCCCCTAGCCAGAATGGACTAAGACACTGTCTCCAGTCACCCCAGTCCTAATGTAGCCCTTGTATCACTGAGGTCTCAGTTCTCTCCCCAGCTTCTCTGCCACATACCTCTCTTCACACTATCCTGACTACATTTGGGTGTCATTCTACTCTGCCAGAAGATGATGCTAATTCTGACAGTTTCCTTTAAGACCTCCATAAACTTGTGAGGAAGACAAGAACACAAATCTAATAAAATGTCAGCAAAAAAAAACCACACCCAAAACCAAACAAACCAAAAACCCCAAAACAAACAAACCAAAACTCCAACAAAACGACCTTCCTCTTAGGTGTAACCCCGTCTACCCACTTAAGTCAGATGTCCCTGTCTAGCCCTCAAGATCACCGTGGTGACTTGGGCTATCCTCACACCCAGGGTCTCCGGCCAGTTCCTAGAAGGCTGCTACCTACCATCACCCATCTGCACACACTTAGGTCCTCAGTATACCCATGGATTAGCTTACAACTGGTACCTCCTTCCTTGCACATTCCCGGATCCCTGAAGATGTGATTAGTCTCCCCCAAATGGCACAACCTTCTGTCTGCATCTCTCCTGTGGTCTAAACTTATCTTGGGAAAGGTAACAGAAGCAAACTTTCATACAAAGCGGAGTTCAACAATGGTCCTCATTACGGTAAAGATTTCAATATAGTTAATTGGAAAAGAACAATTCAAACTTGACTTTGTTTATATATAGCATGTACCATATAAAAATAAACACTTTATAGAAAATATTATAAGAGAGACTATGATGTGTCCACCAAAGTGGGTGGAAATAATAATGTGACAGAGATTATACAGACATTCAAACACTTACGTATCTTGGGAATTGCTTGAAGGAATGAAACATGTAGAAGCGATGAAAATAAATTATTCCAGTTGCCAGGGTGTCATAGTGTCTGTTTTTCAGGTTAAGGACTTTAGCAATAACTTCTATAGGTTATGCTCTTAGTTAAATTCAAGAAAAGAGTAAAGACAACAAGAAAATCAGTGATAAACTTTATACAATGACAAAGCAGAACGGGTACCTTAGGGTGTCAGAATTTTGGTTTAAGAACGAACACTCTGAAGTGCTATGCTTTTAACAAGCCTTAGGAGACACTCCAGCTGTGATCTTAATGGACGCTGGTTTCCCTCCTTGGTGACCACATGCTCAGTGGCTCAGTCTATGCATTTAATGGTAAACCAGATACAGAAAGCCCCAGAGAGTCATGTGTTCAGAGCAACACTTAAACAACAGTATAGAGAATGACTGTATATTTTGTCTGTAGCTTCTAACTTAATCCTTGGTGGAGGTGGGAGAGCTCTGAAAGAGGATCAGGATACAGGCCCAAACGCGTGCCTACATCAAAGATGAACCGAGCCCCCTCTCGGCGGTACCGGGCCTCTGTGGCTGGGTCAAGCCCTTCGAGCTGTGAGGGCGTGTGAGCCAGGTCCTTCTTATCCCAGTACCAACATGGTTTTGTGTGGTCCAGGTTTGCTGACGTCACTGAAGGGCTTGAATTTTCTTTATTCTCCTTCATTTATTGAAGTAGATTTGTTCCTTCCAAATAGTTCTCTGAAAATCTTAGACTCCTAAGAGAAAAAGACACAAAGTTGGAAAGGGACACCATGCCCTAAGTCATCCTAATCATCATACACAATCAACAGCCACAAAATGTACCTGACGTGGAATCAAAATTCCTCAAAGAAACTGCTACTGTTCACCAAGGAGAAGCCCAGGTGAAGCTCCAAAGCCAATCCAGCACAGACACTAAGTAACTCAAGTACTAACAACTCCCAGATTTCATGGTGGTTGACAAGAGCATTTCTTCCTCCCCTCAAGGCTAAAGGTCTAAGCTTGGACACGATTTTATGCTTTTATTCAATGAACACATACTTCTCTCATGTTGGTCTAGATAGTATCTTCAGTGATACTGGACCTCTGTTAATCTTCTACAAAGATTTATGCTTCAAAATGATCCTCTCTTCCGTCTATCAGAGCAAAATTTTCTTCTTTTAGTTCAACTGATTTCACTTGGGCACTTTACTTATGAAAGCCACGGGACTGGGTTAGTTCAGCTGTGCACAAGTCACTCAACTGGACCATGTAAACCAGGCGCGTGGTATAGTGGCATCTGGGTGTCCTAATCGGGGGAGTGGGTGGAGGAGGTGGTCTATGAGGAAGGTGCTCCTTTAAATTGTTCTGCTTTCTCATCCTCTTGTCGTTCTTTTATTCAGAATAGATTCTCTGTAAGCCCCATGCTTCCAAGAGAAAATGAACATAAGGAGCTCACTTAGAGTCACTGAAACATGGAAGTCCCTTGCAAAAAGGTTCAGGGAACAAGAGACATTTTCAGACAGGGCAGCAGAAGGGTTCCAAGAGAGATGGCTAGAGGCAGCTGACTCTGGCGAGCAAGAAAACAGCAGCAGTTCCGTGGCCAGGATCTGCAGACCCTGACAGTTCATCTGGAAGCTAACCTTGTTCTGTGAACCTGCCTCATTTCTGCTTAGCAAAGTGACAGAGCTGGGCCCGGTACCTGGTACCTCCAAAGGGAACATGTTCTTTCTTTCAACAGGAAGAATGAAATAACTGGAAAAGGTAATCTGCATGATTTATACTTTTGTATGAGATTTATTAACTTGGGCAATGTGGGGTGCTGTATACTATCATAGTGGGAGACCATTTCTCACCTACTGAACTGGCAAAAATCCAAACGTTGACAGTTTTATTGTTGCCAAGGCCAGGGAGAAGTGGGCATTCTCATATATTGCTGGCAGGAGTACAAAATGGCACAACTGTCACAGCAGGGAAGCTGGAAGTATCTTAACAAAATGATACACATACATTTGCTCTGTGACCTAGCAAGCTGCTGGGAATCTTCTCTGGAAACACTGTTGCAAGTGTGAAACAACATATGAACAAGATTATTCACTGCAGTGGTATTTGTAACAGCAGATCTGCAAATAAGTCAAGTGTCCAGCAACAGGGAACAGGTGAAGGAGATTACAGTACATGAATACAACAGCACACCATGTGGCAAAAGGATGGAGAGATTTCCACGATCAGCAAAGGGTAGGGTAGCATACACAGCATGCTAGTATCTAGGTAAGAGAGGAGAGGAAGAAACTATTTTCTGGCTCCCATTTTTTTTTTTAAACAACAAAACAAAATTATCAATAGGGAATGGGGAATGGAAGGGCAAAGATGGGAATAGGACTTCACTGATCTATCAGTTTTTTTTTTTTTATATAGCTTTGACTATTTAGGAAGTCCTTTTATTTTAAAATAATTCCAGAAGTTATAAACATAGCACAGAGAGTTTCTGTCTTATGCCCTTCACTTAGATTCCCAAGCTAATATCTTAAATACAGTGCTAAATATTAACCGTAATAATAAATTGCAGCTTTTACTTGGGATTTTGAGTTCCTCCAAACCCTTTTTTCTGCTGAAAGACCCAAACCCAGACACTGTACTACGTTTAAGTGTCTTGTTTCCTACTTAGTCCTGCCTCTTCTAACATGTTTTCCAGGGACCCTCCCAGTATGTGAACACCATGCAGGTATCCCGTAAGCTGGCTGCAGATCTAGGTACGCTACCTTCCCACGAGCGGAGTTTCAAGGAGGAATGCCATAGATGCCAAGTCTTCCTCCCAGTCCCGTCCTGTCAGGGAAGGTGACGTCAATGACTTTTTACACCCAGTGTTACTCAGGACCTCCAGATAGGGTAGGGTCTGCCAGCTTCTCACTGTTCATTACTATTTTGCCCTTTTCATTTTCTGTTCTTTAGAAGCCAGTCACCAGGTTTAGCCCAAGATCCTTACTTGAGGATATGGAGATTAGACTCTATCTTCTGCAGGAAGAACTTGTGGGCATATGCTAAAACTACTACAGTAATTAGTAAATAATTTTTGAAAAATACTGTAGTGCAAAATACTATGCAGCTAACTGTTGTTTCTTAAAGTCTTATCCACGAATTTTAGCATTCATCTGAAAATCTTGATCAACAATTATTACTGCGGTTTTTCTTTTCTTTTGAGATGAGATCTCTCTACATTGTCCAGGCTGCCCTCGAATTCCTGAGCTTAAGTGATCCTTCTTCCTCGGCCTTCTGGTACTATGCCTGCGACTGTGGTGTTCCTAACGACACTTTCCATTTCCTTCAACATTTATTGTTTAGAATTCTTCTATAAGAAAGATTTGTTCCATTCTCATTTATTAGTTTGACTTTTGACTCATGTAAATATTTAATATATTGACAAATATAATTAAAAATAAAAAAGCAAATCCTAAATTCAGAATAAACCCTCTGTATACTAAATGCATAACAAAACCACACAAAAAATTATATCAAGAAATTTGGGATCCCAATAACATCCTTAGTGAGATACATTCTAAAGACAAAAAGAACTGGAAAGAAATCTTAAACTTCATCATACTGTTATGAATAGCTTTATACATACTTTTCAATCAAATTGTAGTATAGTGCAGGATAAAACAAACATGTAAATTTTAATATTAGGAACCAAGATTTTCAGTGCAAAGGAAATAAGCATATACACGGCCCAAATTAAAGAGAAAATTTATGCTGAATTTAAAAAATTTTTTTTGGGGGGGTCCCTGGGATCAAACTGGGAACCTTGTGCTTGTGAGGCAGGCAGCAGCACCACTGAGCTAAATCCTTCGTCCTTATGTTAAATTTTAATTGAAATAATTACAAATAAATGTATATCTATCTCTCAACTCTGTTCATTTCTAGTAGCTAGAAACAATGACATTCCCATAACAGGCTACAATTTAGCACTGAAATTTTAGTGTTTTCAACACTGTCACCCTCTAAAAGGAAGCAGGCTTCCTTCCAGTCTGGGGCAGGGACCTACCTGGGATGCTGTCTAACTGAAGCTTATCAAAAGACACGGGACAGCTGACAGTGATGGCACATGCTTATAATCTCAGCTACTCCTGGGGCTGAGGCAGGAGGACTGCAAGTTTGGGGCCAGCCCCAAACTTATTAAGAGCTTACCTCAATGTATAAAAATGGAATTACTGTGAATTTCCTCAGGGGGAATGGGGTTGTGATTACACAGGAGAATGACTCTTAGGAGATGCAGACTAAATTATTTCCACTTAAGTGTCGTGATGCTCCAGCTTACTTTCAAATGGTCTAAAACATAATTCACAGTGAGTATGGGTAAACACGGACATATACCCAGTGTAGACCACTGTAAAAACAAGTAGTTACTGTACTAAACTTTCAGGTAATAATAAATCAGGGGGAAACATCAGATGAGACTGCTTAGGGGACCAGGAGAACTCCTTCTATTCTTATCAATTAAATTAGACTGGAATCCCTCACTAGCTAGGAAGTATCTGATTATGTAAAGGAGGTAGTTTTATAAATTAAGCCTTTGTAATTCAATTATAGCATACAAAGGAAAATACATCAATTATAAGCACACGGTTGACTAATTAAACGTTGACAAAGCAAACGTTTAACACTACTCAGTACAAACTCAGAATACTGTCAACATTCCAGAAACTTTACCCACAAAGCAAACGTTTAACACTACTCAGTACAAACTCAGAATACTGTCAACATTCCAGAAACTTTCATTCTTCTCCTAATCACTAGTCCTCCCCTAATGATAACCTCTATCTTGCCCGTTTTTGAACAATTGTCCAATAGGATAGTACATGTCAACAGTGCTGAGGCTGAGAAAGAGCTGTACGATATTTTATTCTACAGAAATAGTACAATTTATCCATTTTACTGTGTGAACATTTGAAATGTTTCTGGGTTTTTAATCAAAATTCATGTACTTTCTTGTAGAACAGACGGCACTTGGCCAGTTGGCCAAGGGAATCAGTATCTTACTTAGCACATTTGTAATTTCTGTACAGTATACTAGTTGGCAATCATTACTTTAAAATGTTAACCTAACAGTTCCCTATACACTTACTTATCCAAGTATTCACTGGGCATTTACTGTGAGCCATGCCCCACAGCACAGCAAGGAACAGCACAGGCAAGTCTCTCCCCCACCTCCAGAAGCTTACACTCCAAGGAGAGAAGAAGAAAAACAAAACAGGGAAGACAAGAGACAGTTGGTGTTGAAAGAAGAATCTGGTTCTTTTAAATACCAGGTTTGAAGAATTGTAAAGATATGAAAATATCTACCAGACAAGCAGGCCTGTTGAACTCTCTGAAGAACTTTCACCAATGGGATCTTAGTGTAGAAAGCAGCCCATGGCACTGCTGAGATATCAGTAGTAGGTATTCAATGATTCTTGCATTATTCTTATGATTTTTATGTTTATTCATCCTCCAGATAGTAGATGGCACAAAACAATGAATTTACCAGTTTACATTTTAACAACTCTCTGTAACTCCCACCTAAGCTTTGAAAATACATTTATCTACCAATTCTTTCAAGTATGCAAAGACAATTTTTTTTTTTTTTTTTTTTCTGAGACAGGGTCTCACTGTGTAGCCCAGGCTGGCCTTGACTCACAGTGATCCTCCTGCCACAGCCTCGCCTAGTGCTGTGATTACAGATGTATCCCACCATGCCTGGCTTGGTGAAGACAATTTTTATATTTCTTTCTCTAGGGCAAACAAACACAACCACTTTTTAAAACATGGTTTTTAAGCGTTTCAAATATTAATTAAAATTAATAAATATTAGGTAAGTGTTTAAACATTATTAATCAAATAGAAAAAATACTCTTCATATGATCTGCCCAGCACATGGGGGAGGGAGCACCACATCCTCCTCTGCCTCTTCTGTCTGCTGAGCAAACTACATTCCTCCCTCCCCACCCCAGGGTCTCACTGTGTTGCCTAGTACCAGTAGGCTCACAATCCTCTTGATTCAGCCTCCAAGCCCTGGAATTTAGACAAGTGCCACCACACCTGGCTAAATTATGTTTCTTTTTGTTAAACTTCATCACTGAGAAAATGGAGCCAATGAAATACGAAGTAATCTGCCATAGTTAGAAAGTGACAAAGCCACAATTTGTCGTATTTTAGACAAAGATATTACCTTCCCTGAATCTAGACACTACTTTGTGCCTATAAACGGAATATTATATTTTTGTCAAGACAGATCTCCCTCATCTTAAACGTGTAACTGAGTCTTTGTAAACTGACTCCTAATTTAGAGCCAGCATGAAGCTATTATTTTATTTTTCTTTTGGTACTGGGTAGTGAACCTAGGAAGCTACATCATTTAAAAGATTGTAAAATCTTTTTTTTTTTTAAACAGGGTCTTGCTATGCAATTAGGGTAGCCTTGAAATCACTATGTAGCCCAGGATGGCCCTGAACTCACTGCACTCCTCCTGCTTCAGCCTCCTGAGTGCTGGGATCACAGATGTGTATCACCATGCCCGGAAAATTTTACAATGTGACATGCAGTTGCTCTGGTATATAATTTATACGACTGTGAAAATATAAAATGAATTTAACCCAGTTATTTTATCTTGAATTTAATTCTTGTTTGCTTTCATGCGATTTTTGAGAAAACATGCCAAAAACATTTTCGTTTTATACACTCAAGTTAATTCATTTCTTTCAAAATAATCTCCTGACATTAACTTGTTCTTTTTACAACCAAAAACTATGATCAGTTTTTAAAATAACATTCAATTTTAAAAATGGCATTTAAAGTTTAGAACTTCATAAACAATTATGTTAATTGCTTGTTGGAGCAAACTACACTTTCAAAAAAAACAACACATGTAAAACATGATTTGTATGGGAATCACCTATTATGCTCGAACAATGCATCACAATATAATAAAAATGAGACAAAAGGGGGAAAAAATCTCTACTGCTCTTGGAGGAGGGGATAAAAGACCTGCCTTCTGCCCCTTGGCTTGTTAAGGACCTGAACAACCTTGTTTAGTAATGAAGTCACTATAAACAGCCACATACACATTGATACTCTTCTCCCCCCAACAATCAAAATACAAAGTTAAACACAATTGAGCCATTGTTTTGGTTGCGCTTTCATTTTAAGCAGCACCATTCACAGAAACCGTTAATGAGCACTTGTAAATGTAAAGCACCGTTAGGAATCTCTATAAAGCTACATCTATCGAGATAGTCAGACACTTTAAATTTGCCTTAAATACATAAAAGCAACTGCTTTCAGAACTCCACCCTAACACCAAATGACTTAGCCAAAGCTCCATTTAACTGGCGATACAAATTTAGGGAGCGTTACTGAGGCTATGTTGTGCAAACAATAGCTTCGGAGTTTTTAGATAACCTGTTACGGCTCAACTCTCTAAAGAACAATTCCTGGAAAAGGACAAACTAACCACTAAGGAGAGGATGAGTAAGGACGACATCTGGGCCAGAATGAGTCTCATCGCGGAAGTGCCCTCTGCTCTTTCCTGGTTTAACCCATGTTACATTGTTATCTATTCTGAAAGTCGGAGCACCGCAGATACAAGGGGTAGTTTCCAAAGTCTCAGGCTTCCCCAACATTGGGACCGAAACCCCAAGAAACGAAGGGGGGGGAGGTTTGCCCACCGTACGTGTGCTGAGACCCCTGCCTCCTTTCGCTTCTTGCTTTCTAGAAAGTCCCCCAAACCGACGTCGCCCCCAGTTCTGGGGTCCGCCCCGCCGACCCTCTCCTGAAGCCTACCTCACAGCCCCGCACCGCCCGCTAACTTCAACGTGCACCGGCGACGGTGTAGGGGAGCGGGGCGGAATCCAGGACGCGAGATTCCGCCAACGGAAGGCCGCAGTAGGTCATAGCTTACTCCGACCCCCAGGAACAGGGAAGATAGGCTGCACCGCCCCCGGCCCGTCGGTCACTCACCCCGCGCCTAGGTAAGCAAGCCCCTTAGCGACGTCCCTCCTTGCTGACCGCAGCCATCTTGGATGTGGAACGTCGGTGATACGTCATCACGCTGCGTCTAGCGACGAAAAACTACAGCCCGAAGAGGCGATTAGCGTCAGGCGCCTATCAACCAATCAGAAGAAAGTAGAGCTCCTAAAAGGGGAACTAGCCGCCTGTCTCCTCCCCGCCCGTCGGGTCGGTCAGGGGCTGAGTTGAAGTAGGAGGAGCTAGCTGCGGGCCCCGCCTATCGGTCCCGCCACTTGCGGCGAAAGGGAATTCGTGACCAACCGAACCTGCTAACGGAATTTGGGTGCGAAGGCGGAGTCTAGGGCGCCTGTGGCCCTATCAGAGTTCGGGCGTGGGCGAAGCCTAGCCAATTGCAGCCACAGGGCTGGCAGCCGAGACAGCCGCACTCCCTCTTCTCCGGGAGCCGCCCACCCAATGGTGGCGCAGGACCCGGATCCGAACGGCGGCGGTTTTATTTGTGTAACTGATAAATGGTTTCAATGCAACTACCATGGTTAACCATTCCTCTGATTATGTGTGCTTGTATGCTTGTATGCTTGATGTATGTATGTAATGTATGCTTGCTATGAAATTCTAGAACTTCATAAAGGTTCCAATTCAAATGGTGAAACATGCACTGAATGATAGAGAAAACCTTGG